CAAAATCCTCCACAAACGCCATCTCCCTCAGAGAGTGGCTGAGATGTGAGAGTGGCCTTGCTGCCACACTTGTCACCCAGTGATCACTCCGGTTTGTTTCCACAAATCTGGCTGGCTAGGTGAGTGCGCTCTGCCTCCCTTCTGTCAACTTGGTCAGAGAGAAGGCCCTTCCCCGAGAGAAGAGGGCTATCCCTCAGTCAAGGGCATCTGAGGAGCTGGGCTCCCCTGCTGGAAGCTCTCAACAAGCTCTCCCAGAGAGTGAGCATGGGACAGGGACCACGTGTGTTTGTTCTCCCAGGTGAAAGTCTGCTGTGCACTATTCTGCAGCTCGTGTGCTGTGACAGCTAGCTGACACTGCCTGGTGTGAGACTCTGCTCACTCAGTTGCTGTCTATGTCGATAGGAGCACACTTCAATCACCATGTGCAAACCCAGACAGAGGAGCTGCAGGTGGCCCTCCTGGGACTCCAATCTTAAAGAACGCTCACCAAACTCTCACCAGCAACTCTAACAAGCCTGCCCCAATCACTCTGTGCAGGGGACACAGTAAATTCAAGCCAAGTACTTAAAGTGGATTGGGGGGGGGGGGCAATAGGGGAGCAGAGAAAGGGAGAGAGTGAGGGAGCAAGATTCAGAAAAAGCAGGCACCGGGCCCTTTCACATAGTCTCCAGCCTAAAACTCTCCAGAGCCCGAGGACCCGCATCAACAGTGGAATAAAAAGGGAGACTGCCTACCTTGCATGCTGAAGCAAGCAGAGTCTTTGAGTTGCTACAAGCAAGGCAATACATTTCAGAACCATGTCCATATCTACAATTCAAAAGAGAAAATATATGATCTCTTTGTTAGTATAGATAACCTATTCTCAAAAATTTTCAAAGGGAGAAAACTAACATTGCTTCCTCTTGAATTCCTGAGTCCACAGAATTTCTTCAAAGGATTTTCATCTGGGTAAATATTCAGAGAGAAAAGGGAAGACTAGAGAACGATGCCAGCCTCCGAAGAGTGATAGAACTCACAAGTCAAATGCCCCACTCCCAGACACAGAGCAAACAATGACGCAGACACAGAGCAAACAATGACGGGGGCGGGGGCGGGGTGTCAGGCGAAGACCAAAAGTCCTTTAAAAAAGTAAATATAATACAATGCTGCTCTATTTCAAACATTAAGGACAATAAACAAACTTTTGTTTATTTCTTGAGAAATAAAATACATACTTAAAAAACTCAAATTACTCCAACTCCTAGCAGTTTTAGGACAGGGTAGCCCTGCCCCCTTGGGTTTCCGAGACTACAACTCTTCAAGGCAGTAGAAAGCCTTGTCTTTCTCCCTCGGAGCAGCTGGTGGCCTCGACCTTGAATTTGAGGTCAGCAGTCCCACATGCAGCCCACTACCAGGGCTCCTGACACGGTACGTCATGTAAAAGGTCATGTGAGATGTAACTCTTACCTCTTATGTAGAGACACTCAAAGATCTGAAAACTGGGGTGAGGGAGTATAAAGCAAAAGGGCAAAGGGTAACATCAAGTTGTGAGGAGAAAAAAAATGTTTTATCGCCAATTAATTATAGCAGTCATATAGAAGAGATAAGGGCAGTTTAACTTACAGTTTTTGAACTTCAGGCCACAATGTATTCTGCAAAAGATGATCCTCAGTGGGAGGTTCTATAACAAATGTATAACATTACAATTATTTTTTAATAATATTTTTAATATTTACATGTAAATTAAAAAGTGAATTCTGAAACACATGACAGGTAGGTTCACTGTACCAACTCGGGCAATTGGAACATGTGGGGGGATTAATAAGGTCACAGTTTGATGGGAGGGCAAAGAGATAAATGGCTCAGCAAGGCCCACCCCTCTCTTTCTTGCTCTCTGGTTATTGGACCAGTGTACATCTGCTTTAGATAGTTCCCTGCCTCAACTTGTGAGCTACACTACTTGTGGGGCAGCCCAACCCATGGATTGTGCCCTGCCGGAGCTTGAGGTTCCTTTAAGACCTGCTTCATTCTCCATGCTGCTGGTGTATACATCGCTTGAGCTTGAGGCTGGTGGATCCTGTCGTCTTGCATTGCTTGAGTTTGATATCCCATCCAAGCCTGCTTCGCTAAGTTCCTGAGCTGCTGACTGTTGGTGACCATACTGCTGTTTGCTGCCTGTGGCTGGACTACCTGCATTGCCCTAAGGAAGACTCAGCTGTCTGCTTCCTTGACGTTGGACACAGCAGCCCTCATGAGTTGAAGGACTTCCAGTATATTAACTGTTACACAGAAGTGAGTTGAACTGAGACCTCTGTACTGCTGTGTGGACTAATTAGCTGTTATATTTCTTCGTACTGTATATATCTATCCATATATATAAAAAATCATAAGTGTCCTGGTTTTGTTTCTCTAGAGAACCCTGTCTAACACAATGTTATTTAGCGCAGCAGCAACAGATATGGCACTATATCTACTAGTAATTTTATTAAACCATCTTTTTAAAAGAATGTTTACAAAATTCTTTTTTTATTAGTTGAGATTAAATACATATATCATATCATTTCAAATTTCAATCACATCAAGTAGAATCTACAATTTCTACCACAATCAGTTTCCAAACATTCTTTTTCTACATGGACTCCCTTTTACTCACTCCACCACTAAACCCTCCTCCCGCCAAACCTCTTATTCTACTTCCCGTCCTTATAGGTTCCATCAATCCTGGGTTTCATATATCAAAAAGCGGAAACGCATACAACACAGCTTAAAGAGGGTGACCTCCACTGACATAACACCTCTGAGATACATTCTAATGTGAACAAACACAATCGGGCCAAAACAAGGCAAACCAAAAATACAAAAATTTTGGAAACCAGATCAGGTCCAGCCCGCAGCAGTGGGGATCTACTGACAAAGTATTAAACCATCTTCATGCCATTTCTTACCCGTAAGTACGGAAGGCTGAAAGGCCATCTGGTGATACTCAAAACCAGTCTGAGTTAACGGTTCTGCTTCATCAGGCCGAGGAGTTATATCTCCTAATTTAAAGAAACACAACACCACAAATCTAGTCACTACCTTTTAAGTCCCCTATACTTTTCCCAATATTAAAGTCACCAGCTACAAAGTAAAGGGTCTGGAATTTGGAGGGGCATCCACATGATTCCAAAGGCAAGGCTAAACCCACCACTCTAGTATTTTCCAATGTGTTCCTCTGACCTAATATTTCCTCATCTTTAAAACCTATGGAACACACTTTTCAGGAAAGTGGCCAGAGGAAATTTTTTCTATGATGGCAGCGGACACGCTACTTCTTTGAAGGGCTGTCCTATGAGGATTATGTTGGGAAAGTTTATTGTACTCACCCTACATGCCCTGATCCTACCCCTCAACGTTGAAAAGGAACATTCTGAGTTCTTTCAGGATGGGAAACTGCTGTGCTTGATGTGATGCAACTTGAAGAGCAGAGAACTCTTTGGACAAGAGTTAGAGATAGAAACTCTGCCTTCCAAACCGTCTAGGCCTATATGGATGATATACTCGGAAACAGTAGCTTTACGTTTTAATACTGTTTAATAAAGGTTTACTTAGGTCTTATAGCAACACTTTCTAACTCACCCTCATATAAGTTATACATGCATGAACTTAAGATTGTTTT